TACATTGTGCGCCGGTGTCCACTAGGGCCTTATATCTTCGTGGCTCTGATGTGCCAGGCCACCGAATCCACACTGTCCAATAGACTCGGTTGTCCCTCTCCTCTACCTGGCTAGTGGCTGGGCACCCCTATTCCTGGTCATGGTACTCATTGTGCTCTTCTTGTGGGTATGACCTGGAGGTCCCTTCAAGAGGATCAGACATATCATCATTCCTGTACCGTCTGGAGTCTTGCCCACGAGAGACTGGAGCAGCGTTTAGCCTTGAAGAGTTCTTTGTGGTATTTGTTCCTCTTTTCAGTTCACGTACCCGGGCTGCTAAGGAAGAGGTGGGTTTCCTATCCCACTTCCTCATATCTTCTCCGTGCTCCTTGAGGTAAAACCATAGATCGCCATGTGGAGTGTACCTTCTCTCCTTAGCTGGGGGACGCTGGCTCCTGATAGCAGAGACTTTTGTTTGTCCTGGTGAGATATGGGAAATCCCTTTCTTAATTTCTTTTCTTAGCTTCTGGTGTCCCTCTTCAGTCTTCTCTTCCAGGCTTTGGACGTGTTCAGCCAGTTTGGTTTCCACAGATGAGACGTGGGCTTGTAGTGGGGCGGTGACAGTGTCTTCATAAATCCTGAGTTTACTGACCAGCGCACCCACCTTGTCCTCTCCTTCCCTCCATTGCAGCGTTGCTAAGTAGCGGGAATACATTTCTGGCCCCAGTTGTGCAAACTTTAACCACATCTGGGAGGTGCACTGTACGCCATCTGGACTTTTAGGGAATCTGAGCACATTGGGAACCAAAGAAGTGCTGGTGACCCCTCACATTGTGTCTGTGTTGCCAGGCCTGGTCCAGCATCGTGTACCAGCTGATCCCCAACGTGCAGCAGCTGGAGATGAACCTGAGGAACTTTGCTCAGATCATCGAGGCAGATGAAGTGCTGCTGTTTGAGAGAGCCACCTTCCTGGTGAGTTCCAGGGCCTAAAGGGGCTCCAGGAGAGCTGGAAAGGGACTTGGGACAAGGGCCTGGAGGGACAGAACAAGGGGGAATGGCTTCCCACTGCCAGGGGCAGGGTTAGATGGGATATTGGGAAGGAATTCTGGGCTGTGAGGGTGGGGAGGCCCTGGCACAGGTTGCCCAGAGAAGCTGTGGCTGCCCCTGGATCCCTGGAAGTGTCCAAGGCCAGGTTGGAGCAACTTGGGCTAGTGGAAGGTGTCCCTGCCCATGGCAGGGAGTGGAATGAGATGGCCTTTAAGGTCCCTTCCCACCCACACCACTTAGGATTCCATGGAAGTGCTGTTGGGAGGTGCCAGCCCCACACACAGGATGCTTTGATCCAGCCCTTGGGATACTGAAAGTAGCTGATATGATTCTGTGGCTCATGGGACCTTCCCAAAATTCCCCCTTCCAGCAGCTGAGCTGAGGGTTTATTGGTGTTTCCCTCTTCCAGGCTCTGAAAGTGTGGGACTTCTTTGAGAATTCCTTTCTGCACAGGGCAGGAACCTCACTTACCTTGAAAAAGAAACCTTTTCATTTCCTCCTGCTGTGACATTTAAACTGGACTTGATTTCTTTTGGGGTTTGATGCTCTGCAAACCCAGAATATGGATAAAGGATCATGAACCATTGGGTTGCAATGGTTTTCCAGGTTATTGTGCTCCCAATCCCTGTCTCTGCCAGGTGAAAGGTGCTGCTTAAAACCACCACTGCTGCTTGTCCATCCACACTCTTGGATTATGGATTTGGCTCCTCAGTCTTTACCCCAAAACTCTTGCTGAGCTGAAGGAAAGAGTTTGAAGTTTTTTGGGTGCTTTCCTTGATGGGGATTTGGAAATGATGGAGGGAATGTGGGAAAGGAGCCATGACTCTTCCCCCTTCTTAAACTATCAGAAGCAAACACCTGCCATGTCTGGCAAGTTCTGCTTTTTGACCTCTTCTAGATAATAAATAGTTCCACCTTGGGGGTGTGTAACAGCGAAGGACATTTTTAACTGAAAATGAATAATCTTTGCTACAAAACTTCTTATTTTCAGTGTGATGGTGACTTTTATAAGACTCATCTCCCTTTTTTCATGTATTTATGAAATATATGCATAATAATATATATTAATATATAATAATATATTCCATGTATTTATGGAATACATTAAAAAGCCCCCAGGACTTTTTTCTCCTGAAGTGAAATCTTAACTCTGAAAATCTTACTGTGGAATCTTACTCTGGAAACCTGATTCTGAAATTGTGTTCAAATCATAAGTTTAAAAAAAACAAACCCTCATCTGGGATGTTTAGGAAGGAACTTCACACTGGGAATGCAACCCTTGAATCTGGCTGAACCTGTCCTTGTGTGAATAATTGGGCAGGTTTAAAGAGTGATTGTTTTAAGGTGCTTAAGGGAAAAAAAGAGGAAAAAAAAAAAACAAACTTAAAAAAACCATTAATTCTCAGAAGTCACAAATGTGACTCCAGAGTTTCACATCCTTGTGCAAGGGCACTGGCAGTAACTTGATTTTGTGATTCTGAAGAATCTTGTGGCTTCAGGTTTTTTAAATATTCCTCTTTGCTTTGCTGTGGGAATGGAGATGGTGCAGCTCTTTGTGCCCTTCCCTCGTGCAGTAAATGCAGTTCTTGGCCTGTTCTTCATGTGGCTGAGGAGGGAAGGGGTTGGGGAGAAAGGTTTGCAGAGAGATCCCACTGCAAGGATTCCTAAAAGGCTTTAGATCCCTGAGTGTTTGAATCCAATCCTGCAACTGCTGCTGGATTTGCGTGGGAGGAAGAGGAGGGAAGTGCTCTGGATGAGGCAGCTCAGTGCTGGTCTGACTGGACTGATGGATAGAGAACTCCTGAGGAATCCAGCTGCCTTTGGCTGCTTTTCTCCAGGAGGAACAGCTTGGTCTGGCTCCAGGAGCTCTGTTTGTGCATCCTGCCTGTGCTCAGGTTCGGCCCTTGAGAATCCACAGCACCTTAGACTGAGAAGGGAAGAGCCATCCCAGCACTTGGCAGGTGTCCTTTCCCGTTCCTGAGGTTGCATTTTTTTCCTCTCCTTGCACATTCTTTTACTTTGAATCAAGATTTAAATTGCTGCTAAGTTGCAGCATCCAGACCTCAGGTGGACAACTGCATATTCCCAGGCTTTGTGTGTGTGAAAGGCTCCCTGGTGATCGTGTTACTGACTCCTGTTCCTCCCTGAAAGCACCACAAGAGTTCTTGCAAATAGTTCCCAAGATTCTATCAGCCAAAGGCAAAGAGAATCCTGGTCACCACCCATTCCCAGAATGGCTGTTGACAGTGAGGAACCTGTGCTGGACTCACTGACTGACTCTGCCCCCTCTCCAGGTCATTTCTCACTATCAGTGCAAAGAGCAGAGGGACGTCCACAGGTTTGAGAAAATCAGCAACATCATCAAACAATTCAAGCTGAGCTGCAGGTGAGCTGATGTGATCAGGAGGTGGGGAGAAACCTCCGCAGGGATTTTGGCTTTGTGGGGCTCTCCAGTGAATCCCAGTTCTGTGGGATTGTACTGGGCTTAAGCACAGCTCACTTAAGTTGTTGCTTTTATAACTTTCTCCTTTGCTGGTGGTTGAAGAGGTTTGTTCTGAAACAGCTGTTTTCTCCTGGGCAAAGGAGGAAAGTTCCAGGATAAATCAATGACAGTGCTTGGAATGTCAGGTGGAAAGCTCTGCTCCAGTCCTGGGCTGGCTGGGGAGGAAGAGGCTTCCAGGCACTATTTATCCATATATTTTGAATAGAAAAGTGGAAAGCTTTGGGGAAGCTTGGCTCTGAACAGCCTCCAGGCTCTGCAGTCTGGTTATACCTGGAAGTGTGTGGAGCCTGGGTGGATGGAGAAGTGGCTCCATGGTTCACAGGTGTTTCAGATGTCTCCAGATGTTCCAGTTTTATCCTTATCTCTGCTGGGTCCTCCAGAGTGTCCAGCCTCAGTCAGGGGGTTGTGTGTCTGGAGTTTCCTTCACTGCTCAGTGCACAAATCACTTTGTACTGTTCTCATTTAGCCCAGAGCCAAAGAGTTTTGTCCTTAAAAACCAACCCTGCCATGGTCACACCTGATTTTCCCTGCCAAGTGGGAGTTCAAACTCTGCTTTGTTCCCAACAGCTCAACTAAGGGATTTTGGCCATGTGGGCACAAAAGCTGCTTGAGCAGTGGTACAGGAATAATTAATTTACTTGTTTTTTCTTTATTTCTACTTTTTCAGTAAGCTGGCAGCCTCTTTCCAGAGCATGGAGGTCAGGAACTCTAACTTTGCTGCTTTCATTGACATCTTTACATCCAACACATACGTGATGGTGGTTATGTCAGACCCTTCCATACGTAAGTCGAAGCCAAGATAAGCCTGTTTAGGACAGAAAAAAAACCCCAACAGGCCAAAATGAGTACAGTTTCAACTGTGAAAATGAGATTTAATTACAAAACTGAAAAGAGGGAGAGGAATTGAGTGGGGTGGGGAGGGTGGGTGAGCAGTGACTCTGCAGAGGTGGGATGTGCTGGGACAGCTGAGCTCTTGCTGTCACGGGGAGGATCTGTGGCTGTGAGAGGAACCACCAGAACAGATGTGACCTGGTTTAGCAGGTCATGTCTAATAACCTATTTTGGGCTGTTCTGGGCTGGCAGCCCCGGTGAGTTTTGGAGAGGAAGCAGGGATGGATCATGTTGGAGTGTTGCTCTTGGTGGACAGGACTCTAATTATAGCAGCATCTATTTATCCTAAAGGAGAAGCTGCAGCAGTGCCAGCCCAGGCCCCCTGGGACCAGTTAACTGTTTACACAGCTCCACTTGGAGCTCCTGGTGGGATCTGAGGTGCTCCAGAGACACTGTCCAGGACACCTCGTGCCTCACACTGTGCTTGCCCTTGCATTTGTTACTGAAATAGGGAAAACTGTGTGACTGAGGCACAGCTGGGACAGGGCTGTGCTGGGGAACAGCAGATGGGCAGCTCTGGGGACTTGTGCAGCTCTCCCTGTGGCTGGAGTTCACTGGGCTCTTCCTCGTGGTGTTCTTGGATCAGCAAACAGCCCAGACTCCCTCACATTAAACTGTGCCCAGACCCTCCCACATTATATTTTGCCCAGACCCTCCCACATTGAATTCTGCCCAGACCTTCCCACATCAAACTGTGCCCAGACCCTCCCACATTAAATTGTGCCCAGACCATCCCACACTGAATTTTGCCCAGACCCTCCCCTATTAAATTCTGCCCAGACCATCTGACATGAAATTTTGCCCAGGCCCTCCCACATTAAATTTTGCCCAAACCATCCCACATCAAATTCTGCCTAGACCATCCCAACTGAATTTTGCCCAGATTCTCCCCCCTTAAATTGTGCCCAGATCCTCCCACACTCAATTTTGCCCAGACCATCCCACATTAAATTCTGCCCAGACCATCTGACATGAAATTGTGCCCAGACCCCTCCACATTAAATTGTACCCAGACCCTCCCACGTTAAATTGTGCCCAGACCCTCCCACACTGAATTCTGCCCAGACCTTCCCACATCAAATTGTGCCCAGACCTTCCTACATTAAATTGTGCCCAGACCATCCCAGCTAAATTTTGCCCAGACCCTCCCACATCAAACTGTGCCCAGACCATCCCACATTAAATTGTGCCTGGATCATCCCACATTAAACTTTACCCAGACCATCCCACATTAAATTCTGCCCAGACCCTCCCCCATTAAATTTTGCCCAAACCATCCCACATCAAATTCTCCCTTGACCATCCCAACTGAATTTTGCCCAGACCATCCCACATTAAATTCTGCCCAGATCATCTGACATGAAATTTTGCCCAGACCTTCCTGCATTAAATTGTGCCCAGACCCTCCCACATTAAATTTTGCCCAGACCCTCCCACATTAAATTTTGCCCAGACCCTCCCACATTAAATTTTGCCCAGACCCTCCCACATTAAATTGTGCCCAGACCCTCCCACATTAAATTTTGCCCAGACCCTCCCACATTAAATTTTGCCCAGACCATCCCACATCAAATTCTGCCGAAACCCTCCCACATCAAATTTCCCCCGGAGCCTCCCACACTGAATTTTGCCCATCGTGGGAGCAGCAGGATGAAACAGGACCTTGCAGACAGGGCTGTTGCCCTCAGGACGTGGCCACTGCCCCCTTTTAACTCCTTTTTATCTCCCCTGTCCCTTTTCCGTCGCAGCTTCCGCGGCCACGCTGATCAACATCCGCAACGCCAGGAAACACTTTGAGAAGCTGGAGAGGGTGGATGGCCCAAAGCACAGCCTGCTCATGCGCTGATCCCAGCTTTGGGGGCAGGAAGCATGGATCTGGGACTACTTTTTAGGAGAATCTAACACTGTCGATGTCTTTGTTGGGCTTTATGAGTGTGCTGCTTTGTTTTCTCTCCTTTTCACGTCGGACACTAGAGGCACAGAGGATGTCTGGATACACTGCAGACCTTCAGAGACTTCCCTGGCACCCCCTGGGCTTGGGAAGGAGGCAGGACAGGTGATATGCCCGTGGGCTGGTGCTCTCAGGTGGATATTTTGCTGCCAGGAGGACATTTTAAGTCCCAGGAATATGGGATATTTAGTGGTTTCTTGGTTGGTTGCTTGAATAAGTTTCTGAATTTCTCCTTGTCTTCGATCATAAAATTAAATTTTTGCTACCAGGGATTTCAGATCCTACAGCTTTGGAAAGTGGGTTTGCTTTCTTCCAAAACCTGAGGCAGCTTTGGGAAGCAATGTGTGGGAGCTGCATTTCACCTTTCATGTTTTTGGGGGATTTGTCTGGAAGCCATTCCGGAGTTTCATTGGGAATTGCTGGCGTGGTGGGTGGGAGCTGATGCTTGGCAGCATCTCCCTCCCTTTTTTTTCTCTTGCTGCATCAGATTACTGTATAAAAAGGGTGTGGTGACTCCAAGCCTGGCTTTGCCCCCATATCCCTGCCCACACACCCACTGGGAGGGGAGACATCCGACAGGGCAAGTCTGTTGGGTGAGGATGAGGAGACAAAGGGCACCTTGCCTGGAGAATGGAGGGGGCTCCACACAAACCCTCCCATCCACTCTCCATCCTCATGGAATTAACACCCGTGTCTCACACCACCCACCCTGCAGCTGCTCAGGCTGGGGGAGCTTTCAATGGGAATCATCCCCGTGGGAGAGGAGCTGTGAACAGTCCAGGAGCTTCTGGAGAACTGTGAATGGGCTGGAGATGGAGGGGTTGTGCTTGACTGTGGAATACCTGGAGTGGGAACAGCAGGTCTGGGTGGAGCAAACTCCAGTTCCCCCTCCAGCTGGGACCGGGCCAGGTCCTGCAGGGAATGTCATGGATTCCCACCCCCCAACCCTGCCCTCGGTGCTGCCGAGCGGAGCAAGAGGAGGAGTCGCTGCTGATCCACGTGTTGGAGCCTTGGGAATCCAGCTCCAGGGGATAACCAGGAAGGGCTCTGCTTGCAGCTCCAGGACAGCACAAGATGGGTCACAGCCACAATTCCAGGAAGACTGAGGCACCTGCTGGGAGCACCTTATCCCAACACGTTATCCCTGATCCTGCCGGAGCCGGGGGAAGGACAGTGGGAATGCTGCGTCATTTCCATGGAGATGAGGAGTTGCTGGGCTTCCTTAGGGGATAAACTTCAGCACATGGAAGCGGGATAAGGTTAAGGGGTGGAAATGGGGTGAGGGAGGAGTGTTCTGGGAGCTGCTCAGGAGCCAAACCCCGTGTGCCGGGTCTGGCCTGGCTGGAGCCCGTCAGGGCCAGTGATCCAGTGTTGGAGCTAAAGATCTGCTGTTCTCTGGCTGCAAATCTCTTCCTAAAATACATGGATTTGGGGAATCAACCTTGTGCTTTTGCTCTGGCAGAGGTGCTGCTGGTGCTGCTCTGTGAAACCTCCTGTGACAAAACACAGGTGGCTTTATAGCAAGATGCTCCAGCAGCACCGTGTTGGCTTGTTTGTCTCTCCCCAGATCTGAGCAGGGAGGTTTGGGGGATCAGGCTCAGCACCCTCATCCCACTCCTGGAAAACTCTTCCTCCTTTCTCTGGCAGATCTTCACAGCAAAAACCAGCTGGTGCTGCTCCAGATGTTGCTCACACACACATCCTGTCCCAAAGAGCCAAACCCCGCTGAGATGGCAGCGATCCGTCCTTTTCCGTCAGTGCTTGACCTTGGAACTGGGAGAAACTTGATGCCACCTGTCACTGAGATCCTGAGTGAATCCCCCCGTTGGCCCTGTTCCTTTCCTCCTAGAGCTGCTGTGGGGCCCAGGGTGGGTTCCCTGGGGCTGGGCAGGTTGGGGTCCCTGTGTTTGTCTTGGGTGTTGCTCCCAAATTTTCTGACTGTTCCCTTCCTGCGTTGGACTGCGGATGGTCCAAGTCGGGTCAGCTTTAGGGTGAGCAGTGATGAGCTGTGTTAGGGTCAACTTGGCTTCTGGGGCTCTCCCTGAGGGTACCCCTGCTGCTTTTCCCTCCTTAGCAGCACCTGGTTGTCTCCAGGAGAATTGGCTGGGTTGGACATAGGTCTGTGGTGCTCACCAGCTGCCAGGCACTGGGATCCAGCTGGGATCCAGCTCCTCCAGCACATCCAGTGGGGAGCATGAATTCTGCAAATCCCTGGCAGTAGCCTTGCTCTGCTCAACTGTGGTTTGTAGGCACCTCATGAGGAGCATCCACACCATCCCCAGGGGCCTGGAGTTCAGAAGATCCAAGATCTCCAAGTCCAAGTTCTTGTGGGACCTTCTGTCAGATGAGGGTCTTTCCCATGTGTGAGCTGGGGATGATTTTGGGTGGCTATGATCATATGGTGCTGGATCTCACCCAGCTGCAGCCTGGCCCCATCTCCATAGCCATTGTCCTGCTCTAGGCAGGTCCAGGTGGAAGCTGAGGGCCTGGCCTTGCTGAGATGAGCATCTCCAAGGATGGATTTCTGTTGTGTCATCACCCTCAGCATTTTAAAATTAAGAATAGAAATCCACATATTGGAGCTTCCCATGGTGCCTCTTGTCCTGCCACCACCATCTCCACGAGGAGAGCCACCTGGCTCTTTCCCAAGGTGCCCCAGCACCTCCTGGATGTGCTCCAGTGCCTCCATCCCTGCTTTTGATGTGCTGGGGAGCCCCAAACTGGGCAAAGTCTCAAAGTGCTGTAAGGAGAGGAACAGTCTCATCTTCCCTCACCAGTGGTCATGGGGATTCCTAATGTTCATCCCAACCCTTTGAGCCACAAGAGTTCCTTTAGTTTTCCGCCCATTTTTCCGGAAGCTGTGGGTGTTGGGGTTGCTCCAGAGTTCCGCACGTCAAGAACAAGGTGGGGTGTGTTTAGCTGGGCTGGAAGGGGTTGGGACCTGCCCTTGGAGGGATGAGCTGAGCCCACCTGAAGTGTTTGGTCAAACCAGAGCTCCAGGAGGCCAGTGCTGGGATGGAGGGACCTGCTCCCTCAGCAGAGCAGTGAGAAGGGACCATCTCCTATCGGAGCTGAAGTGGTTTGTGGAAGGAAACATCTTGGTGCAGTTGGACCTGGAGATGTGGCGGATCAGGCTCAGCAGGGAGGGGAGAGGCAGGACAGTGCATGGCCAAGGTCCCGTGGGTTTTGTGGAGTCAAGGATCACACCTGTGGTTAACCTGGAGACCACTGCCCTGGGTTCCACGGCTGCATGGAGGAGGGATCTGGGATATTCCACATCCAGCTCCTCACCTGAGGTGGCGGGAGAACAGCAAAACACCCATTTCTGGGGTGCTTTTGTTGTTTGGCTGCTCCCAGGGTGGGCAGGAACAACCCCACCTCTGCTGGAGCCCAGCACATGCTGCTGCTGCCCGAAGGGCTCGAGGGCTGCTGGGGGCTGCGACCTTCTCGCTCCTTTGCTTGTCCTTCTTTGTGACCCCCCTCTCCTTCCATGGCCCTTCCCTGTCCCTCACCTTCTGCCCAGCCCCAGTGGTGTTGTCCATCCCCTGGACCTGGGATCAGCTGCTGCTGCTTGGATCCAACAGGCTGGAGGTGATGGACCTTCCTCTTGGGAAGTGACAAAGCCCAAGGGACCCCACAGAGCCCCTTCCTGGGGGGGCTGTCCCCGTCCTTCCCTCCTCTGTGTCCCTCCAGATGTGGGGTCTCCCCAAGCCCTTCCTGCCCAGTTCCTGCTGGGGCAGAGCTGCTGGAGGAGGCACCAGTGCCATGGGCATGGGACCCCCTGGAGCTGCAGGGGCCCCCCCAGCACCAGCACAACCCAGGGTGTGCCCCCTCCTGTCCAAATTCATCCTCAGGGATGCCCTTCCAGGGAGAGCAGGAGGGGGGGATGTGCCCTGGGTCCCCCAGCTGCCACGGGGACCTCGGGGGAACCCCATGACCCATTCCCCCCTTTCTCCTGTGTTTTTTGGGAGCTCACCTGGCACTGCAGGGCCTGCAGCTGCCCCTTCAGCTCAGTGCCGTCGGGGTGGGGGTCCCAAGGGTGGAGGTCCCTCCAGGGCCCACTCCCACCACACAACTCCCTCCCCAGAAAGCTTTTGTGGTCCCAAAAAAACTTTTCTGGCCCCAAAAGCTTCCCGGGGGAGGCTGGTCAAGGATGACCCCTCCTCGTGGAGGTGACCCCTTCCCTCACATTTCTAGGGGGTGGGATTACATTTTTTTTTCCCAAACAGGGTCATTTTGGTCACGGGGGTCTCTCCTCCCCCCCAGTTGAGCTCTGTGGTGGTTGGAGGAGCTGCAGCTTCTCGGCCAAGGTCACTCGTGCTGGCCTTGAGTCACCCCTGGGGGGGGACATCGTGGGTGGAGGGCACCCGGCCATGTGTGAAACAGCCCTGGGGATGACCTAGGTTGGGGCAGGAGATACATTTTTTGGGGTCAGGGGGTGATTAACCCGCCCGGGGATGCCCCAGCCAGCAGCTGAGCCCTGGCAAACTCAGTGCAGGGGGAGGACAGTGGGGTCACCCCGAGAATGGGGGCACCCTGAGAGTGGGGTCACTGTGGGACTGGGGTCACTCTGAGACTGGGGACCCCTTGAGATTGGGGTCACCCAGAGACTGGGGACACCCCAAGAGTGGGGTCACCCCGAGGTTGGGGACACTGCCCTGGGAGCTGCCAGGTCCCCATGGAAAAAGGAGCTGGAAAATCATGGGGGCCCGGGGAGCGTGGGGTGGGTGGGGGGTGGATTCCCAGGTGGCAGCTGTGCCCCGGGGCTCCCCAGGACCCCTAGGAAGGGGCCGGGGGACCCCCAGCCCCTCCTGTGGCTGCAGCCCCTCGGGGAGGCTCCCCCAGCTCTGCCACAGCCCCAACAAACCCGGGGGACCCCCACTGTCCCCAGAGCCACACGGGTGCCCCCCAGCTGGGGTGCCAAGGGGGTACCCAAATATTTGGGGGTGCGGGGTTACCTGTAGGGTGAGGCAGAGATTGGGCAGGGAGGGGTGCGGGCAGTGCCCCCCCACACACACTTTAGGAATGACACACCCCCCCAGGGGGCCACATCATGCCCTGTCCCCACCCCGGGCCCCCAGGGGTGCTCAGCCCAAGGATTTGGGGGTGTCCCAAGCCCCTCTGGGGTGGGGGTGCAGTGGGATGCTCCCGCCCTCAGTCACGGGGGGGGGACACACGACCCCCAAAAGGGTGGGTCTCTGCTCCCCCCATCGCTGACACGAGTTCACCAGGTCTCACAGCACCCCACCCACCCCACCCCCGATTTTGGGGGCGCCCTCCTTGG